GTGATAGTGAACAATATGTTATTGAATATGATGGTGGGGATGTCCAATCAGAATTTAATAAAATGTAACTTATATCGCATTGAGAGTCGAGGAAAAAAATGGTCTTTTTGGTTCCCCCTGTAAGTGGTAGAAAACCATGACGTTTTCGCCGTTAATCGGTCCCTTTTTAAGACCCGGCACGCAGTCTGCTTCCATTCGGAATCGTAAAAGCTTATTGAATGCGATGTGGCCTATACAATGACTTGCCGAGCCAGCCTGATGTACAAGTCATGCTCATATCCTCCCAGACAAGCCTGGTACCAATTTGGCGTCAGGAGTTTGAAGGCTTGGCTAGTCTGGGGGGGGACTGATCAGGAAACTGCTGATAGCGCGCGCGATAACTTGCCTGCTCACTATTAGCATTGCGTTTAGCATACAAGTAATGGATATAATCTTAAGAGACCTAAGAAGGGAAGAAAGGGCAATTAGCCATGCAGCCTTTCCAAGAGACTCTTGTTCTATCTTGCCCTCTAATTGTGTTGTTTTCGTATAATGCCGAGAAAACCAACAGCAAACGTCCTTGTTTGTCAAGCAAGATTGACAACCACTTTGGCTTCGAGAATTCTATTACAGATGTCACTTAACCTATGTGTGTTCCATGCCTTGCATGCCGTTTTTAGGGACTTATAAGTCTTTAAGAATAGGTTTTCCGATGTGCCCTATTCTATTCAGTATGGAATTTTCTACTCTGCTGTGGTGCGCTGTACTTTACTATACCTTTTTTGATTTTTGTCAACTTTTGATTTTCAAAACGGCGTGTCGGGTTGGCACAACTGAGAGTTTATAACACTACCTTTTCGCACTCAATCTGTGCTCTCAAACTGCAGTACCAGATCAAATCTTTGTGGTATTTACGACTAAGGACGGTGCTCCTTGGGATGACTCAATGGCATAATCCACGATGATTTGGTAAGTCATTCTAAAATGCTAGCAATGTGTTATATAGTGAAAAAATGGCGGAAAAGCAGGATGAAACGGTTAAAAGCCTGCGAAAAATCCTTCGCTCCACGACTCAGCGATTTCGGACGAGTTTCTGCTGGCGTCGTGCCAATAACCCCTGCGATAGATACGACTGCATACAAGGGGGGGGGGGGGGGGGGGGCAAAAAAAGTCACTTCGACCGAGTCACATATCAGCAAAGTTTTCGCTGCCCAGACAGAGGACGTGGATACGAGTACCAGGGCGGAAGATACCCAAGATGTTCCTCTATAAGCAGGAGCTGGGCTCTCTCCGCACCAGTCAATTTCATGTACACCAAAATATGAAGTCATCTCCAGTCGCAGCCTGACTGGAGAAGACCTTTGGAATTCATGTCACCTCCAAACAGCTGCGAAACTTCTAGTATGGAGTCACCCATGGATAGCTACCTGGAGACTAGTACTTCTCCGACTCATGGAATAGCCTCAACAGTCGAGCCGCTCCATCAACGTCGCCACGGTCTAGGACATCGTTTTCACCACAGTCGTCAAGGCGCAGGTTGACGGTATGGACCGGATACCTGGAATGAAAGGACCAATATTTTCTTCGTGGACCCCGGACATAAGGTGAGCGCTAGCGGTTACATTGAGCAACTCGTGAAGAACATCCTCTACATGGGTCTCGTTCCTACCGTTCTTGGAAAACTTTGTCCTGCTACAGCACTGCGTGCCTAACCGACATGAGTCGCAAGGGCGATTGGAGACATACTTCTCGCCTGCTTGGAATGGAAGGGCTCGGATACCTAAAGAAGATGGAATATCCAAGTAGGTCACCTGACCTGAATCCCCTCAATTACCCGGTTCGGGCGGAGTTCAATAGGGTGGTCTACGGTGGCGGAGAAATCGACTATCTGATCTCAGGCACCACATCGCGGTCGCGTGCCAGAATCTCTCGATGGCGCTCGTCCAGAAGGCTGTGGCGGAGTGTCATGATAGTATTTAATATGCTCTTTAATATGGTGGTAAAAATGTCCGATCAGAATTTAATAAAGTGTAACTTATAGCGCCTCGAAAGTCAATGAAGAAAAGTGACTTTTTTTGGCCCTCCCTGTATATGTGCTCATATATCCATACAACCCGCAGCCGCTCCATATCAATCCCTTCGCTTCATATTGTACTTCGCAAATGAAGCGATACGAGCATCAGCATCGGTCGGACATTTGTGGGCGGGCGGGCGCGGTGGGTGTGCAGGTCGGGATGATGTAGTTTGATAGGGCTCTAAGAGGGCGTCTTTACTGGGAAGGGCGCCACACAGCGTCTGCTAAGGAGCGCTGAATACTTGCTAGGCATATTACATTTACACTTTCTGATTATTTGTCATGCAGCTTGCCTTAATAGATAGCTTCGAGAATGATCTACAAGACTACCGCATATTCTAGGTCACCGCCTTGGTTTGAACAAACATTCTTCATTCTTCATCAACATGTATTTCACTCAATCCATTACCACTTCCTTTTTTTTACGGTACTCTGACGATGTTATAAATTTCAGCTCACTCATCAAGTGAATGAGCGTAAGCCTCATCACGTGCTTTACCTTCAAAAGACGTGGTGTGCCACACGTCATTAGGAAACTAAAAGCATTTCAGACTTATCCACCAAAAAAGTTCTCGTCAAGAAGACGTCGAAATCTATGACGTTTGAGAAGTGTGACGGAAGTCCTGAGGCAATTAAAGGTGTCTTCATGATATATAAGCTCAGCAATGAAGAGGCGACGATCTGCTGCCGGGGCGGGGGTGGGGGAACAGGTGTTTAGAGTGCGTTGAAATGGTTGCTATCGATGACTAGACTCGCAAGGAAGTCTCTGATTTGCTGCACAACCAGGATCAGCCACTAGGTTGTGAAACTAGGTTGTGAAACGTTACCGTTGCCCGGTTGGTACGACCCCCTATTAGTGGCTCAAAAAAGTGGGCGGGATTTGTGAAGAGGCGAGAGGATCTACCGTTGACAACCGTATAGGTTGCAGCGCTTTTGCCCCGAAAATAACGCGAGAAATTCCTTTGCAAAGACGGCTTCTGACCTTTCAACTTACACTTCATGAAATCTTAATAGATAGCTTCGAGAATGATCTACAAGACTACCGCATATTACTAGGTCACCGCCTTGGTTTGAACAAAATTCTTCATTCTTCATCAACATGTATTTCACTCAATCCATTACCACTTCCTTTTTTTACGGTACTCTGACGATGTTATAAATTTCAGCTCACTCATCAAGTGAATGAGCGTAAGCCTCATCACGTGCTTTACCTTCAAAAGACGTGGTGTGCCACACGTCATTAGGAAACTAAAAGCATTTCAGACTTATCCACCAAAAAAGTTCTCGTCAAGAAGACGTCGAAATCTATGACGTTTGAGAAGTGTGACGGAAGTCCTGAGGCAATTAAAGGTGTCTTCATGATATATAAGCTCAGCAATGAAGAGGCGACGATCTGCTGCCGGGGCGGGGGTGGGGGAACAGGTGTTTAGAGTGCGTTGAAATGGTTGCTATCGATGACTAGACTCGCAAGGAAGTCTCTGATTTGCTGCACAACCAGGATCAGCCACTAGGTTGTGAAACGTTACCGTTGCCCGGTTGGTACGACCCCCTATTAGTGGCTCAAAAAAGTGGGCGGGATTTGTGAAGAGGCGAGAGGATCTACCGTTGACAACCGTATAGGTTGCAGCGCTTTTGCCCCGAAAATAACGCGAGAAATTCCTTTGCAAAGACGGCTTCTGACCTTTCAACTTACACTTCATGAAATCAGAAATTAAAAGATTACTGCTTTCTAAATAATGGCGCCTCATTTCGCTTACTGAGTGAGGGCACCGATCAGTAACAGCTTGCCGTCAGTCTGAAACTGAGAGCTGCTGTGAATTTTCCAACGCTGAAAACGTCTTCAGAGCTATCGGCCATCGGAATATGTATGCAATGTGGCCTTTGGATGATCTATTCACTGTAATTCGCTGCAAACGCTTGCGCGTGTCAGTCGGGATGAGTTTGGCGCAATGCCAAACCCGTTCTCCACCAGTTGTTAAAGCGAGCAATTGATATGACTGCGCCATATCGTTCGTATTACTCGTTTTCTACCGCTTTTGTCGCATGCGCGCTTCAACAAGAAGGCACGGAACGGCTTTGACGGAGTGCACGCTCATGCTGCCTGACACGCCCAACCGTCTCCGCCAGTGCTAGAGGTATACATGCTGCACTTTACCCCAACTGTGGATGGACATGAAGGAGGTTTGGGGTTACCTTGACGCGTGTGACCAATGGCGTCTTACAAATCTTCCAATGAGGCCTCGGGTGCATGCAACGCTCAGTGTGCAATATTTATCAGACTTCTCGGAACCTTATAGCTGCTGTTCATACTTTGCGGCAGCGTCCACCAGCGAAGCGTCCACCAGCTTTGCGAGGGCCCAACAGCGTCGGCGACCAGGAAAGTAAAGAAATCGGTAGCTTGTAGATATAGATGGCGTCTCAGGGTCTGCCAGCTCCACCAGCGACTAGCAGGGTGTCGAGGGCTAGAGAAGGTATAGATCTACCAGCGACCACATGCAGACTGCTGGTAGAGAGTATGGGGCGACAGGAGGGTACCAGCTGTTTGCTGTCCTCTTATCGCGTCATGCTCTCTAGCACAGTTTGTTACCAGTAGAATCTGGCAGACGCTAGATCGATACCCATACTTCTTAACCCTCGAGATGCTGCTAGATTGTGGTGGACGCTGGCGGTGGCAGACGTTAGATCGATATCTATACATTTCTAGTCGCTGACGCTGCCGTACATTCGGAACGCAGGTGTACGCTATTGTTCGCTGGTTGACGCTGCGCAAGTTGCCGTAGCCTTATGGGAGTTGGTTTTGGCAGATGTGTAAGCTTTTATAATCAAAAACGAATTTTATTATATTATAATTGATATAAACAATCTCGTATTTATACTCCTAAAGGCACCACACATCAGAGGTGATGTGGATCGTTCTCCTAATAATTCCTCTGCTCTCCTGATCTCTTCATGATGCTGCAAGCGCTACGTCGAGATGCTTCACAACCATGGCGAAAATTTCGTCGACGGTTCCCTGTGCCTTGATCTAAAAGTACAGGCATTTTTTCATATGATGGTATGCAGAATAAGAAAGTGTTTACTCCGGCATCATTCCATAAGATTGGCGCGTATTACTGAGAACTTTCAAATGGGTATTTCAGGTCGTGAAGCCTTTTTTTTACGGTTTGTTGCATACTCTACGAGGGGGGGGGGAGGGGCAAAAAAAAGTCACTTTTCTTCATTGACTTTCGAGGGGCTACAAGTTACACTTTATTTAATTATACTATCATGATACTAAGCCACAGCCTTCTGGATGAGCGCCTTCGAGAGACTCTAGCACGCGACCGCTATGTGGTGCCTGAGATCAGCGAGATAGTCGATTTTCTCCGCACCGATAGCCACCTATTGAACTCCGCCCGAACCGGGTAATTGAGGGGATTCAGGTCAGGTGACCTACTTGGATATTCCATCTTCTTTAGGTACTCAGCCCCTTCCATTCCAAGTAGGCGAGTGTTTCTCCAACGCCCTTCGATTCCATGTGGTGGCACCCAATGCTGTAGCAGTACAAAGTTTCCAAGAAGGTACGGGCGACCACATGTGAGGAGGATATTCTTCACGAGTTATCCCAATGTGTAGCTTTTATAAGGTGAGGCGGAGATGGTGTAGTGACAAGTGGGCGCCTCACCTTCGCGCAGGTCCGGTGTTCGAATCGGGTCGACCTCCCGCCCAGGCCAAACCAATCCTTCTTACTCCTTCGGGGACGGTGAATTGGTACCAGATTCGTCTGGGAGGATAAAACACTGACTTGTACATCGGCTGGCCACCGCAAGTCATTGTATAGGCCACATCGCATTCAATAACCCACTACGATTCTGAATGGAAGTAGAATGCGTGCCGCATCCCACAAAGGGATTGATCAACGGCGAAGACTTTATCCTTTATCCTTTTATCCCAATGTACCGCCAGCGCTCACTTTTCTGTCCGGGGTCCACGGAGAAAATATTGGTCTTTCCATTCCAGGTACGTCCGATCCATACCATCAACCCGCGCCCTGGCGACTGTGGTGAAGATGATGTCCTAGACCGTGGCGACGTTGTCGGAGCTGCTCGATGTTGGAGGTCATTCTGATCGAGAGTACTGGTCTCCAGTACTCTCGATCAGAATGACCATGGGTGACTCCATACTAGAACTTTCGCAGCTGTTTGGAGGTGACATGAATTCCAAAAGGTCTTCCTCCAATCAGACTTGCGCTGGATGTTATTTTCATGAGGATGCGAGATGACTCTCTTTGCACATCTTGTATCCCCCTGGTTCGTACACGTCTGTGGAGCAGCGAAACTTTGCTGATAGTCGTACTCACGCGTCGAAGTGACTTTTTTTGCCTCCCCCTGTACATGCATCCACATGCCTCAAGCAATTCATAGCAACCACCCTTGTACAAGTAGTCTAGCCCACAGTCTCTAAAACTGTCCCACGTTCGCAGCTTCACAGTAAGAACGAACCCGCTCCGAGCCTTCAGCGGCCATTGGTGGCAGCCCTGACGCTTCCCTAGTTTCTACCTACCAGAACTCAAATGATGTTTTCTAACAGGAGTTCAGTTTTTGCACAGAGTTTTTCGTTTTTTTCACTGTTAAGTGGTATTAGCATTGAATGACAGAGCGAAAAGATGTTTAGTGAGCTAGAGGCAGCAGGATATCGTTTTGCTGCCATAAAACGAGCACGTCCACAGAACTAGTTCGGAGAGGCTGCCAGGTCGTTACTAAGGGAATTCTCCATTATTATTTTTTTTTTTGTTTTTTCTCCCCTGAAAAGTCACTTAGCAACTACAGGTTCGTAATTGAACGCCGCTATCCACAGCACGCAATCGCGGGGTTTCTTTTCAATGGTGTATGTGAGGACCATGGAAATGTAGATCGTTTTTGCCGCGCCTTTGGGGACCCAAGCAGACATGAAGAGCAAACATAAGTTGCACTCCCGTGGACACCGTGTAGACCCCTGCAACATGGAACAAACCGTTTCCGATATGTGCTCCATGACCCGAAAAACTCCCTTGCAAGTTCAATATGCCTCTTTCTATACAATGAATGAAGGTAGGACGTTTAACAGTGAAACCCACTTGTATGAGCTTTTTCTTTTTTTGATAATACTCCACAACTGGAGCAGTAGCATTCGAGAAGGTCTTCAAACGTTTCTTGATCGTTTCTATGTTGTCATCGGCACGTCCACTGCAACCACGAACAGATTAACACCTGGTTTTCAACTACTACGATTGCATAGGTACAAACAGAAGTGCCCTACACGCTACCGGGTTTCCTGGGTGGCATGTGGCTGACCAAATGAAGCCGACCGCAAGTAGCCATCTACAGCATGAGGCTTCGTTCATACTTTGCAGCAGCGTACTAGCGTCGCCAGCGTTTCAGCAGCGTCCAGGCCTCAACAGCGACTAAGAAAGTATAGATATTGATCTAGCTTCTGCTGGAGTGTGCAGTGTCTTAAGCGCAAGGGAATAGGATACAGGGTGAAGCGTTGCTGTCAATACGCTTAAAAGAAGGTCTCTCTGAAGAAGGCCTAAGACCTGAAAGGTGCTAATTCCTTCTCGATATGACCACCCTCTCGGCACGACTCCCCTCTCCCATCTCCCAACAACGACATTACGTCCTCCCCCCCCCAGCGGTCAAGTATGACCCCTATGTATTTCGCACAATGATGCCTTCGTGTCTGCCAGCATCACCAGGCTTTCCACCATGCGACAGAATAGAGGAGTATGGGCGAAGTAAAGAAGGGTAAGTAGCTAAACAGCTGGATTAGGGTCTTGAGATGTGGCGTGTTGCAACAACCGTCACAACTGCCTAAAGAGCAGAATTAGGCATTTAATGTAAAGGTGTAGGTCGATTTTTTTTGTTTTTTTTTTTGTTTTGTACGGGTGCGGTCTGCACATACGCAATTTCACGACGCCTAATCCAGCTGTTGGCTATCTTGCCACTTTCCCATACTCTCCACTCCCGGTCGCTGGTGAACTCTGGTAGACGCCGGCAGATGCTAGATCGATATCTGTACTTTCCTAACCGCTGATGCTGCCGGACGCTTGGAACGTAGACGCTGCCGCAAGTATGAACGCAGCCTAACACGTCCGTCGACTAGTCTGCTTAGCTAAATTTATACCGACTACTACCAAGTTCAAAAACTCTGTTCACGGTAAGGTTTTCACCTTGTTGTGCTCGATGCATAATCGCTCCACCATCACGTTTTCAGATACGTCGAAAAAGATTACTAATTTGGCTTCTTGAATCTAAACGCAAAATTTACTACAACTAGCTGATGAATTTCTGTGTTTCGAAGAATACTTTGAAATTTTATGGCACTTACTTCTTTCTCGAATTGCTCGCCTTGTTTCACCTCTCTAGGGTAACCGTCTATCAAGAATCCTTTACAATGCTTTGCAACATCTTTAAGCATTGCTTCTTTGATCAAATCTAGTACAATTTCCTAAATGAGAGCAACAATTCTAGTTTAAATTCGACATTGAACTGAACGAATATCTTCACTTACTAAAGGAACCAGTTCTCCAGCTTCCATAATTTGGTTGAGCTTTGTACCTCTGACAGAACCAGATTTCACCTCAAATCTCATATATCAATCAGGAATCAGGAACATTCAGACGGAGTCTGCAGTCTTGTTCACTGCAGACACTGGGGCGTGTCAGGGGGCTGGGTTTAGAGCGACGGGCTGGCGCTGCGCCATACCCAGCCCCTCTAGAACACCTCAGCATGAGCAGCGAGCAAGTAGACAAATCTGGAGATGTATCGGAGTCTATTCTACCTCATCCCTCAGCAGATCTCCAGAGGAAAGATGTGACAAGCCATACTTCGCAACTATTTTTTCACACTGCGTGCCTTTTCCGGAGCCCGGACCTCCTGAAAACAAATGAGTGAGTCTTATTTCAGCTTTGGACAGACCTCTTGACCTGCCGAAACATCAAAAAAAGATTCTTCGTAGAGCGATTTTTTTGCATTTTCGCGCGAAGCACCCACCACATCCTCTCAGCACACAGTGGACGTCATCAGAAGCCTCGCCTCAGATAGCCACGCCCCTTTTTCCCCCGCAAACATAATTTACACCTATATTACACGCATTAGCATTATACACTACAACTTACAAGCCAAGTTAATTTCTTCTACAATTTCTTTATCACAAATATACATTGCTGAACTTTTATCTAATGATACACTTGAACCCTCCCTAGAGGGCTCGCCCACTTGTCGGATTAAAAGTTCACTATAGTTTTATCGACCGACATCTTGTTCCACTCACTTTTACAGGAGTATGGGTGTTCTCATTATGCAGTTCCTCCTTAAGACAGCTGTGACATTTTCGTGAGAGCTCCAATTTGAGACGGCTCGTGTCATACTGTCTTGTGATGGACAAGCACATCTTCGAAACTGCCCCAAATTGTGGTATCCCACCAAATAAGCAGCCAAAGCCGCGTTCAAAGAAGTACGGGGGCGCTGACGCCTCCCTGTTTCTAGCCTCCTAAAAAACCTCCATCAAACGTACATGAACAATTGACAAACTTATGCTCACACAAGCAATGAAGAATATCGGGACGTTCGCCTTCTTCAGAGGGGTCAGATCGATGGTTTTCCTCTCCAGAGTTAGAGCTGCCCTGAAATAAGAAAATTTACATCAGTTCGGAATCGCTAAGCATTAATTGCAAAGAGAGGAAGGAAATCTTGACAATAATTTCACCTAGCTATATCGAGTTTGGCAAGGAATATTGTCAATTTTACGAAATAAACCAAACGCCTTTTACTAAGCTTTGCAGGTCAATGTTTAGGTTCGTCTAGTGGTCTCTAGTCATCATCCCTGCGAATGATAGGGCGTGTGAAACGCAGCCAGATCAGCCCAGCCAGTCACCGCGGAGCGAGATGGTATCATTTGTAGTAATGACCTTGGCACGCTCCAAGAAACGCCCGGTCAGGCTGCGTTTATACTTTTGCGGCAGCGTAGGCGTAGCGTTAGGCGCAAGCGTAGCGCCCCCCCCCTCAATAGCGGCTTCCAGGTACGCCAGCAGGCAGTGCGAAGAAAGGATTGCATATCGATTGCTTCACCAGCGTCACCAGCGGCACGCTAGCGTACGCCAGCGGCACGCTAGCGCACGCTGGCGTAGCGAGGGCACGGGAAGCATAGCTATCGATCTAGCTTCACCAGCGTTTCTCGAGCGTTTCTCCAGCGGCACCAGCGTTTTGCTAGCGCTTGCAGCGGCAGGGAGTAGAGACTATGTGGCCGTGAGAGACGCGGAAATCGAGTGTTATTGCTGGGGACTATGGGGCCGTCGAAGCGCAGAAGCGATTGTGCATTGTTAGAGACTGATGGGGCCGTCAGGGCGCAGAAGCGATGTGCATTGTAGAGACTATGGGGCCGTCGGAGACGCAGAAGCGATGTGCATTGTAGAGACTATGTGGCCGTCGGAGACGCAGAAGCGATGTGCATTGTAGAGACTAAGGGCGAGTGAGATACGCGCAATCGATGTGCTTTGTACCCTCCAGCTCTCCCATAGTCTCTACTCCCCTGCCGCTGCAAACGCTAGCAAAACGCTGGTGAAACGCTGGAGAAACGCTGGCGTACGCTAGCGTACGCTAGCGTGCCGCTGGTGACGCTGGTGAAGCTAGATCGATATGCATCCTCTCTTCGGCACTGCCGCTGCTGCGGTCACGCCTGGAAGCGCCTACCTACGGCTGCGCTACGCTACGCTGCGCAAGAGTATAAACGCAGCCTCATATATCTTGTCGTATGTAGGAACAATCACTGAAAATAGTGACTGTTATGCGACTAATTCCAGAAGGTAGTCCTGTAGGATGCTTGGTCCCTAACCTTGCGTTTCCGAATAATCAGTGGAAGCAGCTAGAACGAGTCAAGCCTTCCAATTTGTACTAGTAACCAGTTGACGAGTTGGTACCGAAGAAGACGAAGAACACCTGGCTCCGTGCCCACCTCTTTGATTTCGCCGTCCTCCCTGCCTAACTTACGCCCGCCTCAGAGAATCAGCACTACGAACGCAAGATGAACATGCGGTCAGCGCCCATCGAATGAGCCATGCTCGAAGCTTTTGCGATGCGCAAATGAGGGATGGAATTCGGAGCTCCGCATTCCGTCGACGATTTCACTTCGCGACGCAGTCGCACTTGCCAAGGTTTCGAAGACCAGGTGGGCCGGACACATCATGCGATTCGAGGATGAGGACCACAGCTATGACCGTCTACTGACGGGATTCTTCAGCTGTCAAATGAGCACCTGGACATCCCTACGCGATGCCTCCTTCGTGAAAGCTTCGAACGAATGGTATGATGTTCTTCATGCCCCATGAAAATAGAGAACCCGCTGGGCATTCTAGCTCGGTGCAGGGGCAGATGGAGAAGTTACTCGTGGACGGCAACTCGATGATTAGCGGAAGCACAGGTGATTCAGGTGAACGTTCCCACTACAAATTTTAGGCATGCGAATGGGAACGGAAGCAAGCATACGTGGCGGTGGAGTTGCACGAGTTTGTCGCTGATGGTTTCTGATTCAGTGGCGGCTATCAGAACATGATGGATCGAAATGAAGACGCAAGGCCCAACAAGCAGTAAAGTTAATCTTCCCGATGAAAACCACCTGAAGGCACATTCCACGGCATCCGGACGCTCGACATGGTACTCGCAGGGCCGTAAAATGATACAGCAAGTTCTAAGAGGCCATCGGAAGGGCATCCTGTCTGGCCTCCAATACGCGGTGCGTCACACGCCCTATGGCATACAGGGATCGCGACTGTACTTTTCAACAATTTTAGATTCTTTTATTTTTTTGTTTTTTTTTTTTGACCGCTTGATAATTGGCCATGATGGTGTCACTAATGTTCCCTTATTTTTTTAAGAAAGGCTTTGTGATAATGTTTTTTTTGAGGTTTGTGGTCACTTGAATCTACGGTCTTGTTTCCTGCGAATAACGGGGCGTTTCAGGGGGGGGGGGGGGAATTTGGCGCGGCGCCAGCCAGTTCTCCACCAATCGTGGGAGCTGGTAGGCAACCATAGTTGAAGGGAAACTGGCTGCCGCCGAGCCAAACACAGACTGGAGCGCTCCAGTATCCTGCGGAAACAAGACTGTGATCGCCGTAACTGACTGCTCATCCACCATCTACTTGAAACGGTTAATGAAGGATCCAATGAATAGTGACCACTATGCAAAATGTTGAAGGGCCGCAGGCATGTGCGGCCACTCCATACCGTTTTTCACTTCTTTAACATTATTTTGTGGATCAGCACGTTCTCTGCAGCGGATTAAATTATCGTGCCTCCGTCTTTCAAGCGATGTTTCTGGCGTGTTTTTGTTTACTTTCTTCTCTATTTTCTATTTTCTTCTCTCTTTTTTCTATTTTTCTAAATGTTCTGATTCCCTGCTATTTACAAAACTTCAAAAATGCGCTGACAAGTATACAAGAGTAGCAGTGAGAGCATTGCAGCGAAGATTAATTTGCCTGAGTTACCCTTGAAGGCTTTTGTGACTGAATATTATTATTTGCTATTATTATTATATTACTATAATGAATATTATTCAACCTTTCCAAAACCTCTAATAAAAATATTTTCAAAGTAGGATCATAAGAGCCATTTAAGAAAACATAAGTCAGAAACCATTTACTTCTTCTCGATTAATTTATCCAGATGTTGTACGACAACGGCAAAGATCTCTTCGATGGTGCCCTGGGCTTTGATCTGAAATAGAAGCAACTAAAACACAAGCGTTGTGACTAAGAAAATCCGCTCCTTGCTCGCGACGCGAGCGATTCCCAAAATGCGCAAGTGTAACTGACAGCGCTCCAATGCTAATCGTTGGACTGCTGCGAATGCAAAACTAATCACAGTCATGTTAAAATTATTCCGAATTTTGCAACGGTCCAGCAATCAGCGGTAGAGCGCGTCGCGCGGCTGAATCAACCGTGTCGCAGGTTATGAACGCGGATCAATTAAGGAAGAAACCACACCCTAATGAGTTTCTTCTTCTTCTCATAGTAGTCGACCACAGGAGCAGTAGCAGTTGTGAAGGTCTTCAACCGTTTCTTAATAGTTTCCATGTTGTCGTCAGCTCGTCCACTATAATTTGTGACTACATTGTGGTCAAACAAGTCAAGGTGCCGGAAATGTGGAGGTTCTGGTGTTTGGTGGGATACTATCAATCTGGGACAATTGTAAACGTGTTTTTATCGAGCGCAGGGCGAGGTGTCAGCTGCATAAAATGGAAAGCGCAACCTCCGCCACGTTTAGATGAAGTACGAAGTAGCGCCCTCCCCAACTCCGGGATATGGAAGTAGTTACCAGCACGGTTCTCGTCTGGCACATCTTCACATACCTCGTCTTAGCTCTGTGCATTAGCCGTTGTACCAAGATATCCTCGGGTACATCGAAAAAGATGACTGATTTCGCTTCTTGTATCTAAATAGAGAACAGATTTGCCTGAAATAAGTCAATTTTGCTCAACCAGAGTCTCATCTAACCTCACGTTCGAATTGCTCTCCTTGCTTCACTTCTCGTGGATAGCCATCAATGAGGAACCCTTTGGAACCCTTGGCAACTGCTTTGAGCATCGCTTCTTTGATGAGATCAAGCACAACTTCCTGAATTGATCAGTGATAGAAGTAAACATTAATGGTAGGTTTTCCAGAATTCATTTACCAGAGGAACCAGTTCCCCAGCTTCCATTATTTTCGTAAGCGCTGCCTCCTCTGGGAGATCCCGATTTGACCTGAAATCTATAGCACATCCGTGGACAAGGAGGAATAATCTCATTAGTGCAAGTTGGGTAGGTGCTGAGGTAAAAAGCACCTACCTAGCGTGCACCGGTGTGCACAGCACATTGCGCGGGGTTGGGCTGCGTTCATACTTTACGGTAGCGTCTACCAGTCTGCGAGTGACCATTAGCATCCCAAGCGTCAGGCAGGAAGCATTAGGGACTAGGAAGGCATTGATATTGATCTAGCGCCCGCCGGCGTCTGCCGGCGTCCACCAGTGTTCACCAGCGACCGGGACCAGAGACTATGGGTAACTGGGAGGGTAGCAAACAGCTGGACTAGGCGTCGTGAAATCGCGGCGTGTGCAACCGCACAGTAAAACTACACTGAACCGTACCTTGAATTAAATTACATATTTCTGTGCCTCGAAGGTTGTGTGCTGCGGTTGAACGCACCGCGATCTCAGGACGTCTAATCCAGCTGTTTGATACCCTCCTACTTGCCCATATTCTCTCTACTTCCGTACGCGGATGGACGCTGCCGCAAAGTATGAACGCAGCATCACTTTACTAGTAACACCTCTGCGTCTAAACAAGGAGCTAGAAAAACATTATGCCGCAACTACTATGCTAGAACGAAAATTGATTGCCTAGCACAGTGCGGAAGAGCTGATCAACTCACCTCATCTCTCAGCAAGTCTCCAGATGAAAGATGAGACAAACCATATTTTGCAACAATTTTTTCGCATTGCGTTCCTTTCCCAGAGCCAGGACCACCTAAAAAGTGTAGGACCGAGAAATCAATAAGTAAAAGCAGTGTTCCCCGAATAGCAGCACAAATTTACCGACGATAAAGAATATAGGGACATTGGCCTTTTTCAATGGAGCCAAGTCGATATGCTTCCTTTCCACAGCTACCTTATCTGATCTGTAATACTTGAACACAGTTGTATTTGCAAGAGAAAGATCATACAAACTAATACATTTGGGAAGATAGCGCCAGCTTTGATTAGATGGCTCTGTTAAGATAAGGAGTAGGCGGTCACAATGCTGCCTCGTTTCCTGAAGACACGCGACTTCCTGATACGGTAAGAGATTCGGGAGATAGTAACGCGCAGCAACTAACTGGTAATTCCTAGTTGACTAGACATACTGCATATACTGTAACATTTCCATGCTTGACCGTCGGGTCCCGGAGCGAATGTAACGTCACTTGCAGCGCCGCTTTGGCCACCACGCGGTTAGAAGACCTCCCGAACCGCACCCTGCACACCACAGTCATACTTATAAGTGGCACGTGAACAATGAAGCGCACGCTGATACCTCAGGCATGGAGGAAGAGGTAGAGTGGCTGTGTTTTCTTTTATCCATCTGGACATGGTGAACACGCCTTTTTTGTGCGATACTTCCATTTGAGACAACTGTCATCCTGTCCTGTACTGGACAATGACATGATTTCAATTGTCTGAAATGGCAATATTCCACCAAGAAACGCAGCCACCACCACGTCCGATTAAAGGGTGCACCCACACCCTCCTCACTTCCGGGATATGGAGTGTAATTACACTCAACAAGTTAGAGGATAACGGAACAATAACTCACGGTATTAACTTGTCAAGATTTTTCTGAACTTCCGCAAATATTTCATCTATTGTCCCTTGGGCTTTTATCTGGAAATGAGTGATTAGAAAACAGGCACCGCAGATTATTGTAGAAAATGACTCACCCTAATGAGCTTCTTCTTCTTCTCGTAGTAGTCTACTACTGGAGCAGTGGCAGTTGTGAAGGTCTTCAGTCGCTTTTTGATCGTCTCCATGTTATCATCAGCTCGCCCACTGCAACTTGTGGTTACTTCATGAAGGATAGTCTAATTGAATAAATAAATAAATAAATAAATAAATAAATAATTAGGCGTCCAGACGGTTCTTAAGAACTTCGACCTATTTTTGATAATAAGTGATTTTGATGAACCTTGTTTTGGCTCTATGCATAAGTCCGCTGAACCAAGATGTCATCCGATACATCGAAAAAGATCACCGATTTCGCCTTGTATCTGGAGAAATGGAAAATCAATTACAGACAGGTGGGAATCGGTCAAGGTGATGGAAAAGCCGATCAAACTCACCTCCCTCTCAAACTGTTCCCCCTGCTTTACCTCTCGAGGGTAGCCATCGATTAAGAAACCTTTGGAAGCCTTTAGCAACTTCTTTCAGCATCGCTTCTTTGATGAGATCGAGCACAACTTCCTGAATTGATCAGTGGAAGAAGTAAACGGCACAATAATAATCGGATTTCTAAAACTCATTTACCAAAGGAACCAGTTCCCCAGCTTCCATTATTTTCGTAAGCGCTGCTCCTCTGGGCGATCCCGATTTGACCTGGAATCTATAGCACATCCGTGGACGAGCGGGGTTGGGCTGCGTTCATACTTTGCGACGGCGTCTATCAGCGTCTGCCAGCGACCACTAGCATTCCGAGCGTCCGCAGCGTCAGCGACTAGTGAAATACACATATCGATCTAGCGTTTCAGCGTCTGTCAGTGTCCACCACCGACCGGGACAAGAGAGTATGGGGAAATACGAGGGTAGCAAACAGCTGGATTAGGCGTCGTGAAATTGCGACGCGGGAAACCGCACAGCACACTTAAATTGAATTGTACATTGAACTGCATTTTTTCTGTGCTTTAGCAGCTGTGCGGTGCAGTTGCACACGCCGCAATTCGACGCCTAACCCAGCCGTTTGCTACCCTCCAAGTTCCCACTCTCTACGTGCGGTCGCTGGTGAACCCTCGTAGACGCTGGTAGACGCTAAAACTATATTCATGACTCTCTAATCGCTAACGCTGCCAAACGGTGGGAATGATAGTGGTCGCTAGTAGACGCAGGTATACGCTGGTGGACGCTGCCGCAAAGTATGAACGCAGCCTCACTTTTACTAGTAACAATTCTGCGTGTCTAAACAAGTAGCTAGAAAAACATTGTGCCGCGATTACTATGCTGGAACGAAAATCAATTGCCTAGCACAGTGCGGAAGAGCTGATCAACTCACCTCATCTCTCAGCAAGTCTCCAGATGAAAGATGAGACAAACCATATTTTGCAACAATTTTTTCGCATTGCGTTCCTTTCCCAGAGCCAGGACCACCTAAAAAGTGTAGGACCTCTCTCCCGCCTTCAGAGCTATCGGCCATCGGAATATGTATGCAATGTGGCCTTTGGATGATCTATTCAGTGTAATTCGCTGCAGACGGTTGGCGCGTCAGGCGGGATGAGTTTGGCGCGGTGCCAAACCCGTTCTCCACCAGTTGTTAAAGCGAGCAATGATATGACTGTATCATATCGTTCGTATTACTCGTTTTCTACCACTTTTTGTCGCATGCGCGCTTCAACAAGAAGGCAGAGAACGGCTTTGACGGGTGCACACTCATACTGCCTGACACGCCCAACCGTCCGCAGCGAACTAGAGTATACATGCTGACACTTTACTTCCCAACGTGGATGGACCATTGAAGGAGGTTTGGGGTTACTCTGACGCGGTGACCAATGGGGCTTACAAAATCTTCCAAATGAGGGCATCGAGGTGCCATGCAACGCTCAGTGTGCAATATTTATCAGACTTCTCGGAACCTTATAGCTGCTGTTCATACTTTGCGGCAGCGTCCACCAGCGAAGCGTCCACCAGCTTTGCGAGGCGCCCAACAGCGTCGGCGACCAGGAAAGTAAAGAAATCGGTAGCTTGTAGATATAGATGGCGTCTCCCAGGGTCTGCCAGCATCCACCAGCGACTAGCAGGGTGTCGAGGGCTAGAGAAGTATAGATCTACCAGCGACCACATGCAGACTGCTGGTAGAGAGTATGGGGCGACAGGAGGGTACCAGCTGTTTGCTGTCCTCTTATCGCGTCATGCTCTCTAGCACAGTTTGTTACCAGTAGAATCTGGCAGACGCTAGATCGATACCCATACTTCCCTTAGCCCTCGAGATGCTGCTAGATGTGGTGGACGCTGGCGGTGGCAGACGTTAGATCGATATCTATACATTCCTAGTCGCTGACGCTGCCGTACATTCGGAACGCTGGTGGACGCTATTGGTCGCTGGTGGACGCTGCCGCAAAGTATGAACGTAGCCTTATGGGAAGTGGTTCTTGGCAATGTGTAGCTTTTATATCAAAAACGAATTTTATTATATTATAATTATATAAACAATCTCGTATTTATACTCCTAAAGGCACCACACATCAGAGGTGATGTGGATCGTTCTCCTACTAATTCCTCTGCTCTCCTGATTCTTCATGATGCTGCCAGCGCTACGTCGAGATGCTTCACAACCATGGCGAAAATTTCGTCGACGGTTCCCTGTGCCTTGATCTAAAAGTACAGGCATTTTTTCATATGATGGTATGCAGAATAAGAAGTGTTTACTCCGGATATTACCATAAAGATTGCGTATTAACTGAGAACTTTCAAATGGGTATTTCAGGTCGTGAAGCCTTTTTTTACGGTTTGTTGCATACTCTACGAGGGGGGGGGAGGGGCAAAAAAAAGTCACTTTTCTTCACTGACTTTCGAGGGGCTACAAGTTACACTTTATTTAATTATACTATCATGATACTAAGCCACAGCCTTCTGGACGAGCCATCGAGAGATTCTGGCACGCGACCGCGATGTGGTGCCTGAGATCAGCGAGATAGTCGATTTCTCCGCCACCGTAGACCACCCTATTGAACTCCGCCCGAACCGGGTAATTGAGGGGATTCAGGTCAGGTGACCTACTTGGATATTCCATCTTCTTTAGGTACTCAGCCCCCTTCCATTCCAAGTAGGCGAGTGTTTTCCAACGCCCTTCGATTTCATGTGGTGGCACTCAATGCTGTAGCAGTACAAAGTTTCCAAGAAGGTACGGGCGACCACATGTGAGGAGGATATTCTTCACGAGTTGCCCAATGTAACCGCCAGCGCTCACCTTCAGTCCGGGGTCCACGAAGAAAATATTGGTCTTTCCATTCCAGGTACGTCCGGTCCATACCATCAACCCGCGCCTTGGCGACTGTGGTGAAGATGATGTCCTAGACCGTGGCGACGTTGTCGGAGCTGCTCGATGTTGGAGGTCATCCAGATCGAGAGTACTGGTCTCCAGGTATCCATGGGTGACTCCATACTAGAAGTTTCGCAGCTGTTTGGAGGTGACATGAATTCCAAAGGTCTTCTCCAGTCAGGCTGCGACTGGAGATGACTTCATATTTTGGTGTACATGAAACTTTGCTGATAGTGACTCGGTCGAAGTGACTTTTTTTTTTGCCCTCCCCCTGTACATGCATCCCAGCGCTCAAGCAATTCATAGCAACCACCCTTGTACAAGTAGTCTAGCCCACAGTCTCTAAAACTGTCCCACGTTCGCAGCTTCACAGTAAGAACGAACCCGCTCCGAGCCTTCAGCGGCCATTGGTGGCAGCCCTGACGCTTCCCTAGTTTCTACCTACCAGAACTCAAATGATGTTTTCTAACAGGAGTTCAGTTTTTGCACAGAGTTTTTCGTTTTTTTCACTGCTAAGTGGTATTAGCATTGAATGACAGAGCGAAAAGATGTTTAGTGAGCTAGAGGCAGCAGGATATCGTTTTGCTGCCATAAAACGAGCACGTCCACAGAACTAGTTCGGAGAGGCTGCCAGGTCGTTACTAAGGGAATTCTCCATTATTATTTTTTTTGTTTTTTCTCCCCTGAAAAGTCACTTAGCAACTACAGGTTCGTAATTGAACGCCGCTATCCACAGCACGCAATCGCGGGGTTTCTTTTCAATGGTGTATGTGAGGACCATGGAAATGTAGATCGTTTTTGCCGCGCCTTTGGGGACCCAAGCAGACATGAAGAGCAAACATAAGTTGCACTCCCGTGGACACCGTGTAGACCCCTGCAACATGGAACAAACCGTTTCCGATATGTGCTCCATGACCCGAAAAACTCCCTTGCAAGTTCAATATGCCTCTTTCTATACAATGAATGAAGGTAGGACGTTTAACAGTGAAACCCACTTGTATGAGCTTTTTCTTTTTTTGATAATACTCCACAACTGGAGCAGTAGCATTCGAGAAGGTCTTCAAACGTTTCTTGATCGTTTCTATGTTGTCATCGGCACGTCCACTGCAACCACGAACAGATTAACACCGGTTTTCAACTACTACGATTGCATAGGTACAAACAGAAGTGCCCTACACGCTACCGGTTTCCTGGGTGGCATGTGGCTGACCAAATGAAGCCGACCGCAAGTAGCCATCTACAGCATGAGGCTTCGTTCATACTTTGCAGCAGCGTACTAGCGTCGCCCAGCGTTCAGAGCGTCCGGCATCAACAGCGACTAAGAAAGTATAGATATTGATCTAGCTTCTGCTGGAGTGTGCAGTGTCTTAAGCGCAAGGGAATAGGATACAGGGTGAAGCGTTGCTGTCAATACGCTTAAAAGAAGGTCTCTCTGAAGAAGGCCTAAGACCTGAAAGGTGCTAATTCCTTCTCGATATGACCACCCTCTCGGCACGACTCCCCTCTCCCATCTCCCAACAACGACATTACGTCCTCCCCCCCCCAGCGGTCAAGTATGACCCCTATGTATTTCGCACAATGATGCCTCGTGTCTGCCAGCATCCACCAGCGTTCACCAGCGACCGGGAGTAGAGAGTATGGGAAGTAGGAGGGTAGCAAACAGCTGGATTAGGCGTCGTGAAATTGCGGCGTGTGCAACCGCACCGCACAACTGCTAAAGCACAGAATTATGCAATTTAATGTACGGTGTAGTGTAGTTGTACGGTGCGGTTGCACACGCCGCAATTTCACGACGCCTAATCCAGCTGTTTGCTACCCTCCTACTTTCCCATACTCTCTACTCCCGGTCGCTGGTGAACGCTGGTAGACGCCGGCAGACGCTAGATCGATATCTGTACTTTCCTAACCGCTGATGCTGCCGGACGCTTGGAACGTAGACGCTGCCGCAAGTATGAACGCAGCCTAACACGTCCGTCGACCTAGTCTGCTTAGCTAAATTTATACCGACTACTACCAAGTTCAAAAACTCTGTTCACGGTAAGGTTTCACCTTGTTTGTGCTCGATGCAGTAGTCGTTCCACCATTACGTTTTCGGATACGTCGAAAAAGATTACTAATTTGGCTTCTTGAATCTAAACGCAAAATTTACTACAACTAGCTGATGAATTTCTGTGTTTCGAAGAATACTTTGAAATTTTATGGCACTTACTTCTTTCTCGAATTGCTCGCCTTGTTTCACCTCTCTAGGGTAACCGTCTATCAAGAATCCTTTACAGTGCTTTGCAACATCTTTAAGCATTGCTTCCTTGATCAAATCTAGTACAATTTCCTAAATGAGAGCAACAATTCTAGTTTAAATTCGACATTGAACTGAACGAATATCTTCACTTACTAAAGGAACCAGTTCTCCAGCTTCCATAATTTGGTTGAGCTTTGTACCTCTGACAGAACCAGATTTCACCTCAAATCTCATATATCAATCAGGAATCAGGAACATTCAGACGGAGTCTGCAGTCTTGTTCACTGCAGACACTGGGGCGTGTCAGGGGGCTGGGTTTAGAGCGACGGGCTGGCGCTGCGCCATACCCAGCCCCTCTAGAACACCTCAGCATGAGCAGCGAGCAAGTAGACAAATCTGGAGATGTATCGGAGTCTATTCTACCTCATCCCTCAGCAGATCTCCAGAGGAAAGATGTGACAAGCCATACTTCGCAACTATTTTTTCACACTGCGTGCCTTTTCCGGAGCCCGGACCTCCTGAAAACAAATGAGTGAGTCTTATTTCAGCTTTGGACAGACCTCTTGACCTGCCGAAACATCAAAAAAAGATTCTTCGTAGAGCGATTTTTTTGCATTTTCGCGCGAAGCACCCACCACATCCTCTCAGCACACAGTGGACGTCATCAGAAGCCTCGCCTCAGATAGCCACGCCCCTTTTTCCCCCGCAAACATAATTTACACCTATATTACACGCATTAGCATTATACACTACAACTTACAAGCCAAGTTAATTTCTTCTACAATTTCTTTATCACAAATATACATTGCTGAACTTTTATCTAATGATACACTTGAACCCTCCCTAGAGGGCTCGCCCACTTGTCGGATTAAAAGTTCACTATAGTTTTATCGACCGACATCTTTTTCCACTCAACTTTTTACAGAGTATGGAGTGTTCTATCTATGAGTTCCTCCTTAGACCACTGTGACATTTTTCGTGAGAGCTCCCAATTTGAGACAATTGTCATACTGTCTTGTGATGGACAAACACATCTTCGAAACTGCCCCAAATTGTGGTATCCCACCAAATAAGCAGCCAAAGCCGCGTTCAAAGAAGTACGCGGCTGGACCCTCCCTGTTCTAGCCTCCATAAAAAAGCCCTCCATCACAACGTACAACAATTGACAGAACGTATGCTCACCAACAATGAAGAATATCGGGACGTTCGCCTTCTTCAGAGGGGTCAGATCGATGGTTTTCCTCTCCAGAGTTAGAGCTGCCCTGAAATAAGAAAATTTACATCAGTTCGGAATCGCTAAGCATTAATTACAAAGAAGAGAAGGAATCTTGACAATAATTCACTACTATATCGAGTTTGGCAAGGATATGTCACGTTTACGAAATAACCAACGCCTTTTACTAAGCTTTGCAGGTCAATGTTTAGGTTCGTCTAGTGGTCTCTAGTCATCATCCCTGCGAATGATAGGGCGTGTGAAACGCAGCCAGATCAGCCCAGCCAGTCACCGCGGAGCGAGATGGTATCATTTGTAGTAATGACCTTGGCACGCTCCAAGAAACGCCCGGTCATATATCTTGTCGTATGTAGGAACAATCACTGAAAATAGTGACTGTTATGCGACTAATTCCAGAAGGTAGTCCTGTAGGATGCTTGGTCCCTAACCTTGCGTTTCCGAATAATCAGTGGAAGCAGCTAGAACGAGTCAAGCCTTCCAATTTGTACTAGTAACCAGTTGACGAGTTGGTACCGAAGAAGACGAAGAACACCTGGCTCCGTGCCCACCTCTTTGATTTCGCCGTCCTCCCTGCCTAACTTACGCCCGCCTCAGAGAATCAGCACTACGAACGCAAGATGAACATGCGGTCAGCGCCGCATCGAATGAGCCATGCTCGAAGCTTTTGCGATGCGCAAATGAGGGATGGAATTCGGAGCTCCGCACTCCGCCGACGATCGAAGATCAGAGACGCCGCCGCATTTGCCAAGGTTTCGAAGATCAGGTGGGCCGGACACGTCATGCGTTTCGAGGATGAGGACCACAGCTATGACCGACTACTGACGGGATTCTTCAGCTGTCAAATGAGCACCTGGACATCCCTACGCTATGCCTCCTTCGTGAAAGCTTCGAACGAATGGTATGATGTTCTTCATGCCCCATGAAAATAGAGAACCCGCTGGGCATTCTAGCTCGGTGCAGGGGCAGATGGAGAAGTTACTCGTGGACGGCAACTCGATGATTAGCGGAAGCACAGGTGATTCAGGTGAACGTTCCCACTACAAATTTTAGGCATGCGAATGGGAACGGAAGCAAGCATACGTGGCGGTGGAGTTGCACGAGTTTGTCGCTGATGGTTTCTGATTCAGTGGCGGCTATCAGAACATGATGGATCGAAATGAAGACGCAAGGCCCAACAAGCAGTAAAGTTAATCTTCCCGATGAAAACCACCAGAAGGCACATTCCACGGCATCCGGACGCTCGACATGGTACTCGCAGGGCCGTAAAATGATACAGCAAGTTCTAAGAGGCCATCGGAAGGGCATCCTGTCTGGCCTCCAATACGCGGTGCGTCACACGCCCTATGGCATACAGGGATCGCGACTGTACTTTTCAACAATTTTAGATTCTTTTATTTTTTGTTTTTTTTTTGACCGCTTGATAATTGGCCATGATGGTGTCACTAATGTTCCCTTATTTTTTTAAGAAAGGCTTTGTGATAATGTTTTTTTTGAGGTTTGTGGTCACTTGAATCTACGGTCTTGTTTCCTGCGAATAACGAGGCGTTTCAGGGGGGGGGGGGGGAATTTGGCGCGGCGCCAGCCAGTTCTCCACCAATCGTGGGAGCTGGTAGGCAACCATAGTTGAAGGGAAACTGGCTGCCGCCGAGCCAAACACAGACTGGAGCGCTCCAGTATCCTGCGGAAACAAGACTGTGATCGCCGTAACTGACTGCTCATCCACCCTCTACTTGAAACGGTTAATGAAGGATCCAATGAATAGTGACCACTATGCAAAATGTTGAAGGGCCGCAGGCATGTGCGGCCACTCCATACCGTTTTTCACTTCTTTAACATTATTTTGTGGATCAGCACGTTCTCTGCAGCGGATTAAATTATCGTGCCTCCGTCTTTCAAGCGATGTTTCTGGCGTGTTTTTGTTTACTTTCTTCTCTATTTTCTATTTTCTTCTCTTTTTTTCTATTTTTCTAAATGTTCTGATTCCCTGCTATTTACAAAACTTCAAAAATGCGCTGACAAGTATACAAGAGTAGCAGTGAGAGCATTTCAGCGAAGATTAATTTGCCTGAGTTACCCTTGAAGGCTTTTGTGACTGAATATTATTATTTGCTATTATTATTATATTACTATAATGAATATTATTCAACCTTTCCAAAACCTCTAATAAAAATATTTTCAAAGTAGGATCATAAGAGCCATTTAAGAAAACATAAGTCAGAAACCATTTACTTCTTCTCGATTAATTTATCCAGATGTTGTACGACAACGGCAAAGATCTCTTCGATGGTGCCCTGGGCTTTGATCTGAAATAGAAGCAACTAAAACACAAGCTTGTGACTAAGAAAATCCACGCCCTTCCTCGCGACGCGAGCGATTCCCAAAATGCGCAAGTGTTACTGACCACGCTCCAATGCTAATCGTTGGACTGCTGCGAATGCAAAACTAATCACAGTCATGTTAAAATTATTCCGAATTTTGCAACGGTCCAGCAATCAGCGGTAGAGCGCGTCGCGCGGCTGAATCAACCGTGTCGCAGGTTATGAACGCGGATCAATTAAGGAAGAAACCACACCCTAATGAGTTTCTTCTTCTTCTCATAGTAGTCGACCACAGGAGCAGTAGCAGTTGTGAAGGTCTTCAACCGTTTCTTAATAGTTTCCATGTTGTCGTCAGCTCGTCCACTATAATTTGTGACTACATTGTGGTCAAACAAGTCAAGGTGCCGGAAATGTGGAGGTTCTGGTGTTTGGTGGGATACTATCAATCTGGGACAATTGTAAACGTGTTTTTATCGAGCGCAGGGCGAGGTGTCAGCTGCATAAAATGGAAAGCGCAACCTCCGCCACGTTTAGATGAAGTACGAAGTAACGCCCTCCCCAACTCCGGGATATGGAATGCAGTTACCAGCATGATTCTCGTCTGGCACATCTTCACATACCTCGTCTTAGCTCTGTGCATTAGCCGTTGTACCAAGATATCCTCGGGTACATCGAAAAAGATGACTGATTTCGCTTCTTGTATCTAAATAGAGAACAGATTTGCCTGAAATAAGTCAATTTTGCTCAACCAGAGTCTCATCTAACCTCACGTTCGAATTGCTCCCCTTGCTTCACTTCTCGTGGATAGCCATCAATAAGGAACCCTTTGGAACCTTTGGCAACTTCTTTCAGCATCGCTTCTTTGATGAGATCAAGCACAACTTCCTGAATTGATCAGTGATAGAAGTAAACATTAATGGTAGGTTTTCCAGAATTCATTTACCAGAGGAACCAGTTCCCCAGCTTCCATTATTTTCGTAAGCGCTGCTCCTCTGGGAGATCCCGATTTGACCTGAAATCTATAGCACATCCGTGGACAAGGCAGGAATAATCTCATTAGTGCAAGTTGGGTAGGTGCTGAGGTAAAAAGCACCTACCAAGCATGCACCGGTGTGCACAGCACATTCCGCGGGGTTGGGCTACGTTCATACTTTACGGTAGCGTCTACCAGTCTGCGAGTGACCATTAGCATCCCAAGCGTCAGGCAGGAAGCATTAGGGACTAGGAAGGCATTGATATTGATCTAGCGCCCGCCAGCGTCTGCCAGCGTCCACCAGCGTTCACCAGCGACCGGGAGTAGAGAGTATGGGGAAGTAGGAGGGTAGCAAACAGCTGGATTAGGCGTCGTGAAATTGCGGCGTGTGCAACCGCACCGTACAACTACACTGAACCGTACCTTGAATTAAATTACATATTTCTGTGCCTCGAAGGTTGTGTGCTGCGGTTGAACGCACCGCGATCTCAGGACGTCTAATCCAGCTGTTTGATACCCTCCTACTTGCCCATACTCTCTACTCCCGGACGCTGGTGGACGCTGCCGCAAAGTATGAACGCAGCCTCACTTTACTAGTAACAATTCTGCGTGTCTAAACAAGTAGCTAGAAAAACATTGTGCCGCGATTACTATGCTGGAACGAAAATCAATTGCCTAGCACAGTGCGGAAGAGCTGATCAACTCACCTCATCTCTCAGCAAGTCTCCAGATGAAAGATGAGACAAACCATATTTTGCAACAATTTTTTCGCATTGCGTTCCTTTCCCAGAGCCAGGACCACCTAAAAAGTGTAGGACCGAGAAATCAATAAGTAAAAGCAGTGTTCCCTCGAATAGCAGCACAAATTTACCGACGATAAAGAATATAGGGACATTGGCCTTCTTTCAATGGAGCCAAGTCGATATGCTTCCTTTCCACAGCTACCTTATCTGATCTGTAATACTTGAACACAGTTGTATTTGCAAGAGAAAGATCATACAAACTAATACATTTGGGAAGATAGCGCCAGCTTTGATTAGATGGCTCTGTTAAGATAAGGAGTAGGCGGTCACAATGCTGCCTCGTTTCCTGAAGACACGCGACTTCCTGATACGGTAAGAGATTCGGGAGATAGTAACGCGCAGCAACTAACTGGTAATTCCTAGTTGACTAGACATACTGCATACTGTAAACATTTCCATGCTTGACCGTCGGGTCCCGGAGCGAATGTAACGTCACTTGCAGCGCCGCTTTGGCCACCACGCGGTTAGTAGACCTCCCGAACCGCACCCTGCACCACCAGTCATACTTATAAGTGGCACGTGAACAATGAAGCGCACGCTCTATACCTCAGGCATGGAGGAAGAGGTAGAGTGGCTGTGTTTTCTTTTATCCATCTAGACATGGTGAACACGCCTTTTTTGTGCGATACTTCCATTTGAGACAACTGTCATCCTGTCCTGTACTGGACAATGACATGATTTCAATTGTCTGAAATGGCAATATTCCACCAAAAACGCAGCCACCACCACGTCCGATCGAAGAGTGCACCCAAACCCTTCCCACTTTCGGGATATGGAGTGTAATTACACCCAAAAGTTAGAGGATAACGAAACAATAACTCACGGTATTAATTTGTCAAGATTTTTCTGAACTTCCGCAAATATTTCATCTATTGTCCCTTGAGCTTTTATCTGAAAATGAGTGATTAGAAAACAGGCACCGCAGATTATTGTAGAAAATGCTCACCCTAATGAGCTTCTTCTTCTTCTCGTAGTAGTCTACTACTGGAGCAGTGGCAGTTGTGAAGGTCTTCAGTCGCTTTTTGATCGTCTCCATGTTATCATCAGCTCGCCCACTGCAACTTGTGGTTACTTCATGAAGGATAGTCTAATTGAATAAATAATAAATAAATAAATAAATAAATAATTAGGCGTCCAGGACGGTTCTTAAGAACTTCGACCTATTTTTGATAAAGTGATTTTGATGAACCTTGTTTTGGCTCTATGCATAAGTCGCTGAACCAAGATGTCATCCGATACATCGAAAAAGATCACCGATTTCGCCTCTTGGATCTGAAGAAATCAGAAACCAACTACAGACAGTTGGAAATGGGTCAATGTCACGAAAGAGCCGATCAAACTCACCTCCCTCTCAAACTGTTCCCCTTGCTTCACCTCTCGAGGGTAGCCATCGATTAAGAAGCCTTTGGAACCTTTAGCAACTTCTTTCAGCATCGCTTCTTTGATGAGATCGAGCACAACTTCCTGAATTGATCAGTGGAAGAAGTAAACGGCACAATAATAATCGGATTTCTAAAACTCATTTACCAAAGGAACCAGTTCCCCAGCTTCCATTATTTTCGTAAGCGCTGCTCCTCTGGGCGATCCCGATTTGACCTGGAATCTATAGCACATCCGTGGACGAGCGGGTTGGGCTGCGTTCATACTTTGCGACGGCGTCTATCAGCGTCTGCCAGCGACCACTAGCATTCCGAGCGTCCGCAGCGTCAGCGACTAGTGAAGTACACATATCGATCTAGCGTTTCAGCGTCTGCCAGCGTCCACCAGCGACCGGGAGTAGAGAGTATGGGGAAATAGGAGGGTAGCAAACAGCTGGATTAGGCGTCGTGAAATTGCGACGCGGGCAACCGCACCGCACACTTAAACTGAACTGTACATTGAACTGCATTTTTCTGTGCTTTAGCAGCTGTGCGGTGCAGTTGCACACGCCGCAATTCGACGCCTAACCCAGCCGTTTGCTACCCTCCTAGTTCCCACTCTCTACGTCCGGTCGCTGGTGAACCCTGGTAGACGCTGGCAGACGCTACATCTATATTCATGATTCTTTAATCGCTAACGCTGCCAAACGGTGGGAACGCTAGTGGTCGCTAGTAAACGCAGGTATACGCTGGTGGACGCTGCCGCAAAGTATGAACGCAGCCTCACTTCACTAGTAACAATTCTGCGTGTCTAAACAAGTAGCTAGAAAAACATTGTGCCGCGATTACTATGCTGGAACGAAAATCAATTGCCTAGCACAGTGCGGAAGAGCTGATCAACTCACCTCATCTCTCAGCAAGTCTCCAGATGAAAGATGAGACAAACCATATTTTGCAACAATTTTTTCGCATTGCGTTCCTTTCCCAGAGCCAGGACCACCTAAAAAGTGTAGGACCGAGAAATCAATAAGTAAAAGCAGTGTTCCCCGAATAGCAGCACAAATTTACCGACGATAAAGAATATAGGGACGTTGGCCTTCTTCAATGGCGCTAAGTCGATATGCTTCCTTTCCACAGCTACCTTATCTGATCTGCAATATTTGGAAATCGTTGAAAATAGTATTCAAGCAAGAGATTATACAAAATAATCTACTTTGGAAGATAGAGCTAAGTGATCTGGTATGATGGCTTTGTCAAGATAAGGAGTAGGTCACAATGTTGCCTCGTTTCCTGAACCTCCTGCTACGGTGGGGGATCGGGAGATCTACATTGTAGCAAATCGCAGCAACTAACTAGTAATTCCTAGTTAACTAGACATACTGCATACTGTAAAATTTCCATGCTTGACCGTCGGGTCCCGGAGCGAATGTAACGTCACTTGCAGCGCCGCTTTGGCCACCACGCGGTTAGTAGACCTCCCGAACCGCACCCTGCACCACCAGTCATACTTATAAGTGGCACGTGAACAATGAAGCGCACGCTCTATACCTCAGGCATGGAGGAAGAGGTAGAGTGGCTGTGTTTTCTTTTATCCATCTAGACATGGTGAACACGCTTTTTTGTGCGATACTTCCATTTGAGACAACTGTCATCCTGTCCTGTACTGGACAATGACATGATTTCAATTGTCTGAAATGGCAATATTCCACCAAAAACGCAGCCACCACCACGTCCGATCGAAGAGTGCACCCAAACCCTTCCCACTTTCGGGATATGGAGTGTAATTACACCCAAAAGTTGAAATAACGAAACAATAACTTACGGTATTAATTTGTCGAGATTTTTCTGAACCTCCGCAAATATTTCATCTATTGTCCCCTGAGCTTTTATCTGAAAATGGGTGACCAAAATAGAGAACAGGCATCAGATTTTTGCAAAAAGTGACCTACCCTAATGAGCTTCTTCTTCTTCTCGTAGTAGTCTACTACTGGAGCAGTGGCAGTTGTGAAGGTCTTCAGTCGCTTTTTGATCGTCTCCATGTTATCATCAGCTCGCCCACTGCAACTTCGTGAATACATCTTAGTGGGTAGTCTAATTGATGAAATAAATGAATAAATAATGTTAGGCGTCCAGGCGGTTCTTAAGAACTTCGACCTATTTTTGATAAGTGATTTTGATGAACCTTGTTTTGGCTCTATGCATAAGTCGCTGAACCAGGATGTCATCCGATACATCGAAAAAGATCACCGATTTCGCCTCTTGGATCTGAAGAAATCAGAAACCAACTAAAGAGGAAATGGATAAATGTCATGAAAGAGTCGATCAAACTCACCTCCCTCTCAAACTGTTCCCCTTGCTTCACCTCTCGTGGGTAGCCATCAATTAAGAAGCCTTTGGAACCTTTAGCAACTTCTTTCAGCATCGCTTCTTTGATGAGATCAAGTACAACCTCCTGAATGACTTGTAGACAACATTAACGGACAGCACATAAGTAAAGGGATTCATTTACCAATGGAACCAGTTCTCCAGCTTCCATGATTTTGGTGAGCTTTGCTCCTCTGGGAGATCCTGATTTGACCTGGAATCAATGACAGGCCTAAGGACAGGTAGGAATGCCTAATAACTAGCTCAGTATTATACAATGCAGAATAGCTGGGAAACTCACCTCATCCCTCAGCAAATCTCCAGATGATAGATGAGACAAACCATATTTTGCGACAATTTTTTCACATTGCGTTCCTTTCCCAGAGCCAGGACCACCTAGAAAGTGTAGGGCTCAGAACCCACTATGTTCAAGCAGACTTGAATAGTAGTTCAGATTTCACCAACGATAAAGAATATAGGGACGTTGGCTTTCTTCAATGGAGCTAAGTCGATAGGCTTCCTTTCCACTGCCAATTTATCTGATCTACAAAAATTTGACATCAGTGAACATTATAGGTGCAAGATTTTGAGTATAAATCCTTTCAAAAGAGAGCTACATTTTTTCCCGTTAGGCACCTATCTTGAGGACAAACTGTCGGCCACCTGTCAAGAGGATTCTTCCAAAGTGCATGTGAATAGGCCGTAGCTATACCACACTCAGGAGGACTCAGGAAACAAGGCTGGGGCGTA